TTTATATATCTATGAGATTTGTTTACTAAAACTATCTAAAAGAGCTATGGAAATTTATTATTTTAGTACAAGATAAATATATAAAAATATTGAGAAATTTCAAAAAATACCACTTTTCAAGTGTTACTTTACAAAAATGCCAAATTTTTGAAATTTTTACAAAAATCCCACTTTTTCAAAATTATTTTTTCTTTATATCATTTAATTTTAAGTTAATTATGTTCTATTAGGGTTTAGTTATGAGTGTTTAGATGGTTTTAGGGGTCAAAACAATTTTTAGGGTTTAGAATTTTAAGATATAAGCTTTACAAATTTATAACTAGTGTCATTTTTACAAATGAATATTTCTAAATGACATTCTTGCAAATGTGCACACAAAAAATGGTATTTTTGTAATTGACCAAAAATATTTGTCATCTTTACCATTTTGCGTTGCTCCAAATATAAAATATAAAAGCAAACTCAGATCTCACGATTTTTCTTCCTTTCACAAAAAAGAACACAATGAACATACCAACGACGCTGCTCCTCTTCGTCGGAGCCCTCATCTTCTCCGTCGTCGGAAATGTCAGATCCGATGCCTCCGACCACCGTTACAAAGAAGGCGATACTGTTCCTCTCTACGCCAACAAAGTCGGTCCGTTTCACAATCCCAGGTAAAAACAATTCCACTTCCGTGTCGGTAGGTTTTCAGATCTTAGTTTAGATCTGAGATTGTCTCCGATGAGAAATTGCTCGTTGACTATACATCCGATTGCTTTGTATTGCGAATTTGTATCTATCGATTATCAAGACCTTGAAATTCGATTCATGCCTTGTAATGTTTCGATAGATCTTTGTTAATTTTCGCTGATTTTACTTTCAGTTTCATTGTCATGTGACTGATTCTACTTCTGTTTGATGATGATCGCAGTGAGACGTATCGGTATTTCGATCTGCCCTTCTGTGTCCCAAGTACGAGCTCGCTTCTGTGTTTCTGGGAAATTCAATACATGCCTTTTGTTCACTGTGAATCTGTCACTAATAAGCCCAAAATTTCATTTGTTTAGTGATAGTATTGGAGGTTTCAGGAACTCAATGTTG